TTTTTTTTTTTTTTTTGTTGTAGCTTTATAAACCTTAATTAAACTTCTAACTAATCTATCTATTTACCAATGTTTAGCCTAAATATTTGTTACGCAATTTGTTGTCTACTAGTTATGGCGAACTAGATAACTAGTATAAATTGTACAAGCAGTAGCTGCTTGTTCAATATATATTTGACTTTTACTGTCAGAATCATAAGACCATAGATATTAAGAAAATAAAAAAAAAAACTAAATTTTCTGAAGCTTAACAACAAATTACTGTTTGTACAGTTTCAGTCTTTGCTGATATTTTTTGAATATTTACAAAGAAAAAGTGTATATGTTATCAGTGAGGTAAAAATGTGGGTAAATTTACTGTATTAAAAAATTTAGTGCATTAATTTAATTTATTTATTTTGTAAAATTTCTGTGCAGTTTTATCCAATCCTTTTTTTCGGGTTCACTACTACTTTTTTTGAGCAGTTACTAAGAAACAAAAAAAGAAAAAAATGTGAACTATTTTTTTGTGTCAAAGATCAATATGTGTTTTATAGAAACAAAAAAAATGATTTTCTAACTACAGTTTGCTGTTGCTCTATTGTAATTTTTTTTTGTTTTTTTGATAAAAACTGATAAATTTGACAAGAGATTAGTTGGTGAAAAAAACAGAGCTGTCAGTATTGCTATATTCTGTAAGTGACATGAACACACAAGTTTTGAGCAAGGTTTTTTTGTATCCAATTTATTCAATGACTACCGGTAAAAAAATTATCCTTTTTTAATGCATTATGAAGCTTTATTAAATATAACAAAAACTGCACACTGATATTCCAGTTGAAAATCTTGTATGTTCATTGTAAGTATTACGTTTTGAAAAAAAAATATTTCTTCTCCTGTCATTATTATGCGATTTTAAAGAAACACTTGTTTACGTGAAGAAAAGAAACTGATGCAAACGACCTAATAAGTCTTCTTTAAAGTTAATGCAAAAAAAAAAAATTGTTGACCAGCAACGATTTGTAGTGGTTGGTTTCAGATCCAATAACAAACAAAAATTATACTTTTATATCTGTTCCTGATACTCGTTATTGTTAAAAGGTTGTTAAGTAAACGTTAAAACCTTCTAAAATTTTTTATCTTTTTTATGTCCATTCTTCTTTTTCCTCAGCTTTGCCATTTCTACGTTGATGTAAGCCAACTTTGTTTAGTGCTCAATAAAAATAGAAAAATAAAGACATTCATTTTTCTTCCTTCTTTATCTTTTTTGTAATGTAGTAATCTGAGAAGTTTCTACTTCACTCCAATGATGCTTCCTGGCTATCAAAAGTAACAAAATCAACGCTGAGAAAGTAATTAAAATCTTTCCAATGGAAAAATTGACTTTTTTTGGCATCCAGGCACAGGACGTTATCGTTAGATTATGATTAGGCTTTATACGACTAATCATAGCACCTATAACTAATTTTTGAATGTCGTCTAAAAAGCCACCCACCAAAATAGTATTTGATAATAGTGAGCTTCCTTTCACTACTCCAGATTGTTTCTGCAGTTAGAAAAAATAAATGCCTGTATTCTATGCACTCTTTTCTTGCCGTAAATTATGTACTTATAACTAGCTTTAATCTTCGCTGTCATCTTCTTTTTATTAACATTATTATTCATTATTATAACTATTACTGTTATTAGTAATAACTAACAATATAATTTCAATAAATATTTGCCAGGTACAAATACTGTACATAGATACCAATTTCTTTCCCTGCGTATTTCTTAATTACGTGATAATAAACTGATTATTCAACATTACTTCAAAAAAAGTTTAAAAAACCTACAAGTAATAACGAAATAGTTAAAATAACAGAACTGATACGAAAGACCAAAATTTTGATACTTTTAGGAGATGTTTGTAAGGTTATACAGGAGAACTCAGAAAAAAAAAAACAACCAGTAGACAACGAGGTATAACATCTAAGGATCATTATTACATCAATTTATGAATGATGTACTTTACAACTGTCCAAATTGTGATTTTTGGGCAAGAATACATTGGAGATTTTTAGAGTTGTTCACTATCAGAACACTTTAAAAAAAAAAATTCAGAGTGTTTTGAAAAACAGTCTGCTGCAAAGAAAATAAATTTCTATTAAGGAAAAATCTGAATAATGTAAATAAGCAAATGTCAAAAAATATTATGAATTATTCATGTCTGACGGTGCTACAATTGGCTTTGGCCTTTTTAATGTCGTTTGATTTTTACGAGGTGGATCTAAAATATCTGAAACTGATTTCGCACTTCCCGCTTCACTTTGATGTTTACCAATTGGTGTTATTGAAATTGAGCCAACGCTTTGATGTCCTTCTAATGAGCGATCGTCACTCCCGAATGACGATGGTAAGGTAGAGATTTCAAAGGTCGATTCATTGAACTTATTACTAATTTGTTGTCTAAAAAATTTAAAAAATAGTTGAGGCAAACAAAGATTCTTGCAGTGACTAGATGATTTTCAGTTCAAAACAAAAGTAAAAAAAAAAGCTTTGAAAATAAAGTCTGTCAAGTTCACAATGGTTTAGTTGAACAACAATCCTGAAAAAAAAAA